TTGGTTTAATATGATATTAAGGCTTTGATCAGTGATAAAGCCATGTGATATAACTCATGACAGTTTCCTCTCTCTGTTTATACCATTTGTAACAACTTTCCTCATCAATTTCACCTTTGATTTCTTTGTCTGTATCAGATTCCGAATTCTGTTCACCAGTTTATCTTCAACACATTTACATGTCTTTTACCTGACAATAAATCACTTTGACTTCCTTCCCCCATGTACAGTAAAGCATTGTTAATTCAAAATTCAAGGGACTGAAAAACACTGACTTTGAAATAAATGGATTTGAAATGAATGCACACATGTTAATTTGCACATGCACAAATTAGTATGGGTATCCACAAGCTAGTTCACTCACAATTGAGGCATTTGTGAAATTTTGATGCAAACTGATATTTTGAATTATCTGCTATCCAACAACAAAGTTTTGCTTTATCCCCACGGTGAGTCTTCTGAGGCATATGGCTCAAAACATTTCCATTGGAAAGATAAATTTCATTGGAATGCATCAATTTGGATGAAATGTTTTACCATTTTGGTAATGTTTTATCATTTGATAGTGTTTCATTAATTTGGAAAAAAAGTTAAGCAATTCCTTTATAAAGTTTTTAGTTGATTTATTTAATCTTCAGGTGATTTTGCTCTAAATTCTATTTTATTATGAAATATCTCATATTGTTTTAAAATGTAAAAATATACGTTGATGTTTTTGAATTAGTTTTTAAAATGCTTTTTCCACAAGAGATGTCAAAATTCGGACTGTTTCTGGATTGTTTAAGAATCAAAACACATTTTCCCCATGTGTTCCCTTGTGGAAAAGAAATGGAATTTTCTGACTGGCTCTAAAATTATTAGTTGTTGTTGTTATTTTTTGCTTATGTTGAAATTGCTCTTCTTGGGTTCTTGGGCATTGGTATGAATTTTAGCTCCCCTGTTATCGTAGACAACACGTAGAACCATATAGAAGTAGGGCTGGACAGGATCTCCAGAGGTCATCTAGTCCAACTCCCTGCCCGAGGCAGGATCATCCCTAAACAAACCATCCCATACAAACCATAAACTAAACTCCACATAAGACTACCAACACTCCTTGACACAACACAGACCTAACACCCTAACCTGCTATAGGTAAAGCAGAGTAACCATGGTGGCCAATGTCCTGCTTCTATAAAATGTTGTCAATATATGCTCAAGAGATCTTGAGAGAGAGGCAAAAACCCCCACAGTCTTTATCAATTTGACTATGGGGTAGAATTTCTTCCATCATATAATACCTTTCATAAGTTGTGAGAGGCAAAGATTTCTTAGGGTGATATCTTCTATTGGACCAAGTATGTAGTTAACTTAAAGGTTAGACAAGCTTTCAAATGCAAGACATTCTTTGTCAGGTCTGTAATCACCGGAAGCCAGGCACAGAACATTGGACATAGGTATGGTGGTCTGTGGATTTCCAGTATATAGTGATTTGCAGGGTATCATCCTTGGTGTGGATTGTAGTATTTAGAAAGTTGATGTTAGTGTAGGAGTATTCCAGAGAAATTTTGATTGGTGGATGATGGTTGTTAAACCTGTGGTAGAAATCAGTAAGTGAGTCTGGGTGTTCAGTCCAGATGATGAAAATATCATCTATATAATACAGGTATAGTACAGGTTTGGTGCAATTTTAAGATTTTTTTTTCCCCTTCAAGGTGGCTTTTGAAGAGGTTGGCATATTGAAGGACCATCTTTGTGCCCATAGCTATGCCCATGGTTTGGAGGAAGTCACAATTGTTGAAAGAGAAGTTTTTGTGGGTGAGGATGAAGTGGATGGTTTGTGCAACATATTGTTGCAAATCTACATCTACTCCATATTCTTAAAGGTATTTTAGGCAGGTAGTAGTGCCTTCATGGTTTTGGATGTTAATATACAAGATGGTGATATCCATGGTTGCAAGTATGGTCTTTTCAGGAAGGTGGTTGATGTTCTGGATTCAGTTGAGGAAGTCTGAAGAAACTTGATGTTTGAGTGACACATGGTTTCAGGATAGTTTCTATGCATCCTGATAGCTTACAACATTTCAGAAAAGTATTGCATGCTAATGTAAATGTAGTTAGTTTTTTTTGCTGCCAGTACGATTACGTTATATATGGTTAAAAATGTATTCTAATTTCCAGTCAGAAATATGTTACCACTTAGTGCCCACTTGTTCTTGCACAAAATACACTCTTAGCTTTAATAGCTCTTCTCTCCCCTTTTGGTATTTGCTCCCATGGTTTACTAATAGACTCGTAGCCTTCATTTTGCACAGCTTAAACGTGTGAGTTCTCATTGCCTCCTCTCTTCTGATATGCTCTCCATTCCCTTGATCATCCTAGCAGCCCTTCTCTGCACCTTGTTCCAGATTAAATTTACCCTTTGTGGAATAAGGGCGATCAGACCAGTGTATGTTGCTTTGGTACTTACCTGAGGTCTGACCAGGAAATTGTGCAATGGTTTTAATACTTTTCTGTCCTTCTGTCTTGCAGTAACATCTTCCATCAGATGTTACTGATGGAAACATCTTAACTGTTACAGGTAGAATTGCATTTTCCCCTTTTGTATCACTGCAACACAATAGCACCTCCTCTAATCATCCAGTACACCTGGATGCCTCTTGTTCTCAGTTGTCTACAACTGAAGAACTTTCAGTTCAAAGAATTTGCTTTTATTAACCCTGCTTGTATTTTATGCAATCGAATTTCACCAATTTCATCTTGTATGTCACTCTAGTATTTGGACAAACCACTTTGGTTGGTGAATATCACCAATTATAGTACAAACTTTTCTGGAAAAAAACAATATTCCTGAATGTAACTTATTTGCTTTTGGTATTTTATAGTTCAGACCCCATTGTTGGATGAGTGCAGAAGTAAATGGACTTCATGGTTTCATAGTTAGTAGGGTCGGAAGGGACCTGAGCAGATCATCGAGTCCGACCCCCTGCCATGGCAGGAAAGAGTACTGGGGTCAAACGACCCCAGCAAGGTGTTCTTCTAGCCTTGTCTTAAAGACCCCCAGGGTAGGAGCCAGCACTTCTCTTGGAAGTTGGTTCCAGATCCTAGCTGTCCTGACTGTGAAGTAGTGCCTCCTCAGGTCTAATCTGAATTTACCCTCTGCCAGCTTGTGACCGTTATTCATAGTCACTCCTGGTAGTGCTTGGGGGAACAGGGACTCCCCCAATGCCTGCTAGTCCCCTCTGACTAGTTTGTAATAGGCCACTAGATCCCCCCTCAGCCTTCTCTTGTGGAGGCTGAACAGGTTCAGGTCCTGTAGCCTCTCCTCGTAGGGGCTGCCCTGCTGCCCCCTGACCATGTGAGTGGCCCTCCTTTGGACCCTCTCCATGTTGTCCACATCTCTCCTGAAGTGCGGCGCCCAGAACTGGACGCAGTACTCCAGCTGCGACCTGACCAGTGTCGCATAGAGGGGGAGTATCACCTCCTTGGATCTGCTTGAGGTGCATCTGTGGATGCATGACAAGTTGCGGTTGGCCTTCCTGACTGCATCCCCACACTGCCGGCCCATGTTCATCTTGGCATCAATGATGACTCCAAGATCCTTTTCTGTCTCTGCACTGATGAGAAGGGAGCTCTCCAACCTGTAGGTATGGTGCTGGTTCTTCCTCCCCAGGTGCATCACCTTGCACTTGTCGTTGTTGAATCCCATCCTATTCTCATCTGCCC